TTCCCCCCGAACCAAACCTTTCTTAGCTCACACTGGGATCCCTTTCCAGGCTCGACCTCCTCCCATCAACTGGCACTAGCCCTTCTGGTGCTTCAAACTCAGACACCAGCCCTGCTACAAAATCAGCTGTCATGCAGAAAAAGCAGGTTGAGGCTGGTGCTGAAGCCAGTCCTTACTGCTCTCCAGCCAAGCGTCTGCAGCTCCCAGCATCCAGGCAGGGAAAGTGCTGGCTTCTCGCCTTGTGTTTGCTCTGCAAATAAAACACTGTCTGAAGTTCATTGTTTGTATGTGTGCTTTTGTTCAACTGCAGCATGGAAACTGCTTTTCTCTGGGCTCAGGCTATCTGGGAGAAGGGAACTCCTGAATCAGGCTGACCCTGCTGTAAACTTCCTCCTTGTAAGGGAAAAAAATATGAGTTTGTGAGCTTGGGAAGCTTGTTTCTTAGGCCCTGTGATGAAATAGAGTTGGAGATGATGGAGGTTGGGGATGGCTGCTTGCACCAGCACCCTGCAAAGCTTCCCAGCTGTTTGTGGCAGCAACTCACTCGCCTGTGACAGCACAAGTAGCTGTACCAGTAGAGCAGAGCAGACTTGTGCAGCTCCTTTTCCCATATGCTGTGGACATATCTGCATTCTTGACATTGCTGAGGCCAACAAGGGTTGCTAAAGGCCCTGACTTTCCCGAAGAACGAATGTCATTTATCTGGATACAGAAAGAGCTGTGCTGTACCCCATCCTCACCCCCCAGCTGGACCCCAACCATTTGGAAACACACCAAGCTTCCACACCCTTCTGAACAGCTGAGGATGACAAGGAGGAAGGGCAAAGCAGGGGCAGGAAGGGCTGCACTCCAGTGCTTGAGACGAGCAGGGATCGCCTGCCAGATGTGACAGCCTGCCCCTGAGCTGCTCCTCAGCACATTGCACTGGCCTTCACTGGGAGCAACGAGGATAAAGAGATCCCTGATCTTTGCAACTTTGGCTTTCAATTTCAGTTTAAGTGGTAAGCATGAGCTCTTTCTTTATTCTTATTTGTGCCTTCCCATGTGATTCCTGATTTCTCTCACAAGACACACACTGAACCATCACTTCCCTCCCAGTGCCAAGGGAATGTAGGCTGAGGCTCTTTATCCTGAATATATATACTTGCCACTTCCCTGCTCCCAGGCTATTTGCTCTGGGCAAGAAGCAGAACTGGCAGACCCTGCTGAACTGAATAAAAACTATTTAAGAAGCTTTGCTCCAATTATTGAAATCTCAGCCTCCTGGTATCCTGTCAGCACTTTCTAGAAACCCAAATCTGCTGCTTGGCTTAACAGATCCATTTTTTTAATGTATTTAATTCAGAGGAGCCAAGAACTTGTTTCAGGAGAGGTCAAAGCAATAAAAAATTCATTTGTTTATGTACATAATCAGCCCTGGGGCTTATGTGATGCAGCCAGGATGGTCAATTAAAATCCAACACCTGCATAAATACTCACAGCAAAGCCTGTGCCACTGTGTCCCATTACACTAATTCTGGATATGGGGAAAAGAAAAAAAATCAAACGGAACAAAATCTGCCCAAAAAGCAGGAGTGGGAGAGCTGTTCCCGTGCCTGCAGTTGCAGGCAGTTCAGCCAGCAGCACACACACGGCTGGGGAAGCACTGCTGGGCAGTCAGTGACAAACCACAGAACTGTCAAGCAAAATCCTTATGCAAAAAGTGAGAGGGAGGCAAGAGCTCATGAACCGAGGGAAAGATCAGACTTCTCTTCCCTGCCTCCTGCTTGTCGTTTGTGGTAGATATGCCACAGGTAACACAAGTCCCTACGGTGCCTGGATATCACAAACCACAAGAAATGAGAAGGACTAGCAATGAAAATAGTTACTAGATGAAATAGGAGTTAATGTCAGTGTTGATGGAGTGGCCTTGTAGCCTGTGCACTGGAGGCTTCTGCTAATCTCCATCAGTTCCACAATACTGAAAGGCAGCTGGAGTTTTAGGAGGGAGAAAGGGAAGTCAAAATAGCCCCAGAGAATGAGTTCTGGGGAGCTTTGCCTTCACACCATTCAAGGTTTTTGACCCAGACAGAGCCATGAAGACATCCAATTGAGGACCTCAAGCAAGAGGCTTGAGGTGTGGGCCAAAACAACCCTGCAAGAGCTGGTTGGGCAGAAAAAAACCCACAGGTGTCTGTGTGACATGCAGCTTGTCCACACACACACAGTCCACCTCATAAAAGCCTCAGTATAGGGGTTGTTTCATCACTTCATCAGTAATGCCTGTGTGTTTAGGATATTCCTTAATCCACATCTGCAAAGTGAGTCAGGGAGATGATCCCAGTTTCTGGAAATGCAAACGTGGACCCTTATAGACTACTCCTTCTCTGGAAAAACTGCTTCTGATTCATATTTCCAGCTGCCAGCTCTGGTGGTGATTGCACAGCTGCATTCATCCATCAGCCTGCTTTTGCAGTGGCAAAGGGAAGGCACAATGAAAAGGCACAAAAAAAGAAGCACAGTAGGTGTGGTAAGAAGGTCAGAGTAAAGAGAACTCATCTTCTGGATGTGTTTCAGATAATATTTGGATAAAGAGTTGGTGAAGTCCCCATCCTTGTGAATACTGGAGAGATGTGTGGATGTGAAAGTAAGAAACATAGTTTAGTGATGGGACATGTAGTTCAGGTTAATGGTTGGACTCGGTGGTCTTGAAGGTCTTCTCCAACCTAGATGGTTCTATATTTGGATCCCTGTCGAGCCCATGCCACCTGCTGGAGACAAACCTTGGAGATTTATGGCACCATTTAACCTGGACTTTCTTAGGCGTTCTTACACCAAAGCCCCTCCTGTGCATCTGGCCGACCTGAGCACATGCCTGTGGGCTGTGGCTATGGGCCACTGTGGGGAAGGGACTGCTTCACAATTTCCTTTCCCCTGCTTGCCTAATGTGACAGCTAATTATCATTCCAGAGATAACTGGTGGAGGAGCCGTATGGGATCCATGAACCTTCAGTGCTGTGGGATTTTTTTAGAAGAATCAAAAGACCGGCAACATCCTAGATGTTGTTGTTGTTACTGGTATTACTATTACTGCTGTAATAGCTTCCAAACCCTTCAAAATAAGTTGTGGACAGTGTTATTGCTGCACAGGCTCAAAGACAAGGTTATTTTCCCTAAAGCCTAAGAGGTTTTTAATTGGGGAGAAATAATATGTTCATGAGCTCTAGCAAGGGAATAAAACGACTGGCAGCCCTACCGCAGTGAAGGAGGGTTTTCCCTGGGGAGCCACAATTGGGGGTGAAGCCCACCATAACTCCCAGCAAGGCACAGAACTGCCTGCACTCAGACCCTGACAGAGCAGGGCACCCGCTTTCAGAAAAACCCCTGGGGACAGTGCCTTGTGTCAGTCATTCAGACACAAAAATGAGTTCTGATGCTTTGCCCATGAGCTCGGTTGGGGCAGCCATGCTTGTGAGCAGACACGGGGTTTTATGGGGATATTTCACCCGAGCACCAGGTAAAAACCAAGCACTGCCTCACTGTTTCAGCCCCTTTTTTTCTATAAGCTGTAAATCTGCTGTATGCCGGCGAAGCCTTCAGGTTGTGCGTGGAGGCATATGTTGCTTATCTAATAAGCTGCTTCCTAGGCTCCAGTGGTGCTGCTACTTATGTCATAAATTCCATGATCTCCCCTCCACTGGTCATTAATCTGCTCCATTTCCCGACAATTTTACACTCTTTTGATAAACCGTTTGTCCAACCACTTGACGGAAACAATGTTGAAATCTTACCTTAGGCGTTCTCTCCACTAATGAAGAAAATCCATCACGAGGAGAGTTTATCTATTTCTTTGCTGGACGTAAATAAAACGTCAGGCTAATTTGCTTCCATTAATCTTAAAGCCATTGCTACAATGATATTCTTATGTCAGAGAGGTGTTTTTTTTTTCCTTTTCCACATAAATATTTAAGCAAGTACCTAAAGCACAAATAAATTGCTTTCTGAAAGGCGGGTTATTTTTATATCCAGTGATTTAACAATACATTTGCACAGGGCTGAGCTTCCAGGGCTTCCAGCCTTCTGATTGTGTGTATGCCTTTACATGAGCAGGGATCTCATGGTTCTCAGTGGGTGCTCAGGATGCTCAGCAAGATCTGCAAAGGTGGAAGGATTTGGTGTCTTATGGCTGCAATGGGCAGGTCAAGTAGCAGCCTGCAAATGCTGCAAGAAGGCCTTCTGGAGAAGCTTTCCTTCTTCCACAGGCACTCCTCCTCTGTTTTTCCAGGTGGCATGCTTTTGGGGGATGCTTATGCCAATGTTACTGGGTGTTCATGCCTGGGGTCACAGGAGAGCTTGTTTGTACATACTGGGCAGATATACGAATTTTGATTCAGGTACATAAAGGCTCACAGATGTTCCCATATCTGTTAAGCCAGCAAACTCATGTTACAGGTAAGGAAATGCCAAAAAGCTAGAAAGATCCCCAGTATCTCATGCAATGCTAAGGTCAAGCCGATGCAATCAGAAGCACAATAAAGGCTGCCACTCAGCCCAGAAAAGCAAACAGCTTTAGCCACTGTGCATCACCCCTCCTTCCCCTCTCTCCTTGCTGAGAACTCGATTTGCATGGGATGACGAACTCTCTTTTAGTGAAGTTTCTCATTTTAATGACTATGACTAATGCTACACATCCAAACTAATGCCACAGCTACCATGGAGCTTACCATGGTGTGTTTTCTGGATTTCATTATGTTCCATTGCATTATGTTTATTATGCTCAAAGAAGCGCAATGAAGCTGTGAAGGTCTGGAGCACAAGGGAGCTGGGGTTGCTCAGTCTGGAGAAGAGGAGGCTCAGGGGAGACCTACAGCTGGCTGTGGTGAGGTGGGGGTCAGCCTCTGCTCCCAGCTGCTCTAACAGCGATAGGATGAGAGAGAATGGCTTCAAGTTGCACTAGAGGAGGTTCAGGTTGGATATGAGGAAGAATTTCTTCTGAGAAAGAGCAGTGAGGCAGTGGCACAGGCTGCCCAGGGAGGTGGTGCAGTCACCGTCCCTGGAGGTGTTCAAGAACCGCATGGATGTGGCACTGAGGGACATTATTGAGTGAGCGTGGTGGTGGTAGGTGATCTTCTCTTTTCCAACCTTAATGATTCCAGCCTTAGTGATTCTACGATTTTATGATTATCAATCTCATTTATTATTATGGATGGGACATTTTGGACCCAGGATGAGTTATTTTGTTCTCCTCCATTCTTACAAACCTCCTCAGAATGAATTCTCATGCAGGCCACCCTGGCAGAGGAGGAGATGATGATGGCAGATAGGCTTTCCCTTGCCAGCACCAGGGCAGGACCACAGCAAAGCGTTCAGGATGCTGAGGTGCAGGCAAGGCTAATACCAGTGCTTTCTGAGAGCACTCACGCTCACTGATTAATGTCACTCCAGCCTCACTTCATCTTCTCTTAAGCAAGAGGAAAAGGTAATTGCCTACACTTATCAGCACGGCTACAAAAGTATCCCCTGGCAGGCTCTAAACCTGACACACTGCTGAGATGGATGCAAGAGGAGCAGTGTGAGTGCCTGCTTTCTGCCTCTCTGGCTGCACGGGTGGACACTTTCTCCAGCTCAAGGGCAACAGGGCAGCAGCGTGCAGAGGCACCCCTGATGGTCTCCTCTACTTCATTCAGGGCTCTCAATCCTGACTACTGTATCAATGTATACACTGCTCGACTGGTGGGCAATGCTGGAAGATATGATAAAGGGGGGGCAGGCTCTCTTTTGTTATCAGCATCCTCAGATGGCGTTTTGCACTTGGTTGCTTTCTGTCGAAGGTTTCCTGGGTGTTTGGTAAGATTTATCTGCAAGCCTTAGAGAAAGCTTAATGCAGACATAGGCATACGTCACCTCCACCACGGGAGAAGGTAGAGCTCAGCTCTGGGGACTTGTCCTTGATTATTAGGGTTCAGCCTGCTTTTCCCCACACCACTCCAGAGTCTCTACTTTTGTTATTTTGGGAACATCCAAAATCTCACAGATGTTCTCCTTCTTTGAAAACTCCATGTTGAGCAGATTGTGTGATAAATCTTGCTTAATGCCTTTCCAAACATCTGTTGGTTGTTTCAGAAAGTCTCCTCTTCCTCTTTCCTACACCCCACAACCCCTTGTCCTTTCCCAGGACATCCCACTAACAGGGGTTAATAAAAAGACACCTTTTGGAGAAGCAAGAACCCACGTTCAGTTTCACTTTGCAGACCACAGCAGGGCTCAGCGCAGGGTGTCCCTCACCACAGTCAGGTTGTGCTCCTGGAGGTACCGCAGCAGGATTTGTCCCCGCCTCTCCAGGACCTGCAGCAGAGGCCACAGCCCTGCAGCACCTCCCTGGCTCTCCCACAGCTCCTGGTCCCTGTACAGCGACTTCAGCAGCCTGTAGGTCAGGCAGCCCGACCTCAGTGTGGCCACAGCTGTCTCTGGAAAGCTGAAATGATGAACAGAGATGGAGTCTGTTATCAGGTACACTGACCCAGAAATCATCAAAGCCTGCACATGAGAAACAGGAAGGTAGGGAGGAGATACCCCACCAAGTGCTCACGCACTGCCCATCTCACCTGTCTATGCCCTGCAGCAGCCTGAAGTTGAGCTTTGACTCTGGTTGCTGTGGCCGGCCTGCGTTGTCGATAAACACCAGCTGGGACAGAGCGCTCCTCCGGACCTGCCAGCAGAGGTGGGAAGGAGAAGCTTGCCTACCGTGGGGAGTCATCAGCCTAGTGTTTTAGGCTGGCTTTTTAATGCACTGAGTAACCCTGAGAACCAGTGGGATCTGCAGCTGCCAGCACCACCCAGGGATCTGATATTTTGTCCAGAGCAACCTCTGGGACATGGGCAGCAGAAAGGGATCACAGGGGCTGGGGACGTACCAGGATGTGCACCAGGAACAACTCGGATGGGTTTCGACACTTTTCATGGAGCATCTCCTCCACACAGGGCTCGGAGGCGTCAGGCTCAAATCCACAGCAATATCGGTCCAGGCGGTCATGAACCTGTGGGAGATATTTGGGGTCCTCAGTGGGAGCAGATGACCTGCATGGGCAGGTCCAAAGTGTTTCTCACAAGGAGATTTTCTTGTTCAGATGGAAATAACATGTTTTTAAGGATCCTAGGTGGTCATTAAGTAGAAAAGCTGCTTACACCAGTGCATGAGAGAGACAGGGAAGCACCCAGAAGCTGAGACTTGCAAAATGCCTTGGGACTGGAGAGGAGCCTGACAGAGGTGACAGTGACAAGTTTTCCTGTTGGAGTTCAGACACCACATGCTGCACAGACTGAGTGGGCTATGCTTGCAGCTGAAATGAAAGGAAGGGCTATGTAAAGGGGAATGCAAAATAACTTCAATAAGACACGTCAAGGCTGTGAAGCAAGGCAAGTTCAGCAGCAAGCAGCCCAGCTGCAGCACAAAGTTTGTTGAGACGGCTGGTGTTGAGCCAGGGCTCAGCATGCACAGAGGCTCCTGAAGCAGCTGCAGAGCTGTAGACTGTCAAGGGTGAGCAACTTACAAGTGGTACCTGCTCATCTCATCTGATAATTAGTAAAATTTAACAAAGCTGTGCTTTGAGACAGGGCCCAGTAGGAAACACAGCTATGCATTGGGGAGGATGCCACAGGAAGTGCAAGGTTTGTTTTCCATGGCTATTACTTCCATAACCCTGCAAGAAACAGATTAGTCCCACTCCAGAGATCCTTAACAAATCCCTCTATTTCCTGACGTTTAATGAAGCACTCCAGTCAGCATTTCTCCACTGGGAGAGCTACCCATTAAAGTGCTAAAGTTCCCTTTTACATGAAACACATTGAAATGAAAGAAAACATCACATTTCTTCCATACATTTCCTTTGTCCATATACTAAAAAGCTCAGCACACCAATTTCTCTCGCCCGCAGTGTTGTTTTCTTTCATAGCAGAATAATAGTCTGCACAGAAGGTGAAGACAGTCTGGGATGATTTATGCAGACATTAAATGCACTCATGTATCAGGGAGAAGCAAGCTCTGCACAGACCTGGAGGCACCACACAGAAGCCCACGATAGTTATGGTTGGGAGAAGTTTTGGGCCAAATTCCCAACAAACCAGCATGGTTGTGCAAAAGCCACCAGGGTGTGGAAATCCTGAGTCCAAGACGCCAAGAAGGAGAAGGAGACATTGCGGTAAGGATGCTGTGGTTATGGTGGTGGTGGTGAGTCAGTACTTCCCGAGCACCCCTCTGAAGTTTGTCAGCACTCCCAGCAGCTGGAGGCAGGGAGTCAAGTTGGAGTGCGCCTGAAGAAAGCCCAGGAGAAGAGAGATAGGAACAGCATGCACAGAGTGGGACTCTGCCCTGTCCCAGCCACCTCCAGTCCCCCGTGGACATCTGAAACCAAGGACATTTGGTGCCAGACTCACGAGGTGTATGGTGGAGGCTGATTCTGGTGTCCCAGATATACCCTGAGAGATGGACCAGCTGGGTAGTGGCACATTTAGAGCACCTCCAAAGTTCTGACCAGCTGTACCCCAGCAGCTTTCCCTGTGTCACTTATGTTCACATCCAAATGACGCTCGCAAAGGGTGCATCAGGTCCTGCTGCTGTAACACAGATACATCAGTCACACCTTCTCTCATCTGCTCAGTTCAAGATCTGTTACAAGCACCTTTGATTTAAGTTTCTCTTTGATTCCAGGTTTGGCTGGGATGGGGACCACTTCTCCCAGCACCAAGAGCCACCACTTCCAGCTTCCTGATAGGAGAGGAAAGGGGAAATTGCCACAGAAAAGCCCATAACAGAGGGGTAGCCATCATCAGGAAGAAGATGGGCCCGCCAGGACCACTGCATCCTGAAGGACTGAGTCAGCAAGGTAGTCTGGGTGTTGAACAGGTGATGAAGCACCAGGCATTTGTCTTTTTTTTTTTTTGTCTTTCTGCTGGGTATAGGGAGGGAAAAAAAAAGGAAAGGATCAGGACTTTGCTTGTGCAGCCTTGAGGGGAAGGTATTTATCAAATGTAATCTGCGATTGCTGGAGCTCTCAAGTAGAGCATTGACAAGTCTGAGTAACTCTTGCATCACCAGAAAGAGAAGAAGGCCAGGGGGAACCATGTGTAAGACTCCTGGACTTGCAGAGCCCTGGAGACATTTATGGCCACTACCACAGCATTTGGATCAAGTCCCGAGTTTCTACATTCCCTGTTTTCAGCAAAAAGCTCTGAAACACAGAGGGAGAACAGATGGGAAGAAGTCAAATTCTAAAACCTTCGAGAAGACAACAAAGATTTCAATGCGTGGTTGAGGGCTGCATGGGAGGGCTCAAAGCTCATGGCTTCCCACTCTCCAGCATGTACTGCAGGATGCTAGAGCCATTTCTGAAAGATGTAATTTCTTTTCTACAGCATCTGCTGGCTTTGTGCCTCTTTGTGTGATTTTTCCACATGGGAGGATTCCATTGGAGCTATTAAGCAAAAATTTGTGGATTGCTCTTTGATATATCATTTCACTCTTTCAGCCCTCTGAGGGAAATTTTCCTTAAAACTGGATGGCTTTTGCTTCTGAAGACTCAGCTTTTCCACTGTGCTCAATAGGATTTGGGCCTGGGGAAGGGAAAGGAGTTGGTTAATCTTCCCATTTGTTTGGCTGTTTCATCTAAAATACTTCCAAGCCCAGCCACGACTGCTCCTCCTCTGCCAGCCACAGTCTGATGTTATAAAGATTAATGGTCAGAATGTGGAAAAAAAAAAGAGAAAAAAAAAAGAGTAAAGAAAGCACACATTTAATTTTCTTATTTCTCTTTTTTCTGCCTTTTTTTTTTTTTTAATGTATGTATCTATATATATAATTGCCCTTTCAGATAGTTTGCCCTTGTCCACTAATTGAAGCTGCAGCTGTGAGGTGCCTGAACAGGTCTTCTTTCCATAGCAAGCCCTTTTGCCTCCTCAAGGTTGCCCCATAATACGTGATAACTGCCTGTGACATGCAGTAATCTCTCACAGCACAGGCTATGATTTTCCAGACAGAAGATGAGACACTGTTCACTCTAAGGAAGAAGAGGAGGAAAAGGCACTACCAAACAAAGGTGCATGAGTGCTGACCCCCATGCAGCACATCTCTGAAACAAGCACATGGAAGCCCCAGGGCTGGTGCAGGGGATGCTGCCTTCACCATGCAGTGCCTTGTCCTGAGCCACTGCAGCACCCACATGATGCACAGCAAAGGAAGCCACACTGGGATGAAGCTGTACCACATGAGAGCAGACATTCATATCCTCTAAAAAGCCAGCAATTATGAAACTAAAGCCTCCAGAAAATGCACACTTTATGAGCACGAAAAATGTATTTTTTTGTTTAAAGACAGCCTACTCTGAAAAGAAAAAATAGACTTGTGCCTTCTTGTGCTGCACTGTGATGGAGAGATGAAGGAAAGGTAGCAGGGATTTTCTTTTTGTTGTCAGAGGGACTTTGGCTGGGCTTGAAGCCTGGAGGATTCACTACGTGTTAAAATCCCTGGAGCTGAGCAGAAAAAATTTCCTCTTTGGTTTGAATTTTGCCTGGCAAACCCAACCATCCAGAGCCAAACTCAGCAGAGTGTCTTCTCCATAGGTGTCCATGTTCCTTGAAAGGCCATGTTTGCTTCGTGGCTGAGTGTGCAAAGGCAGGGATAGGCACCAGTGTAGGTTTTGGAGATATTCTTCAGTTTTTCAATTCTCCTGGTTACTGCTGCTCACCACAAGCTTGCCCAAGTCATGTGTGAGAGTCACCACCTGAGACAGGGTCATGTGGAAGGTGAAGGCACTGGAACAGGTTGCCCAGTGGTGTGGTTGATGCTTCATCCCTAGTGACTTTCAAGGCGAGGCTGGATCAGGCCCTGGGCACCCCGATCTAGCTGTGGTGTCCCTGTTTATGGCAGGGGATTAGATGGCCTTCAGAGGTCCCTTCCAACTCTAAGGATTCTATGATTCTATGATCTTTGGGACATCCCAGAAAGTGCCAAGTGATACCTCAGCAGTGATATTTTGGCTCATGTTTTGATACTCACCCAAGAAAACACAATTCCTGTGCTACCCCTAGTAGAGAAAGATGTGATGGACAGAGAGTTGTGGCCAGGTGCAGGAGGACCTGGTGTCCCATGCAGTGTTAATGGCAGCCTCCCTCGCCCAAGCCCTACCTGCAGGAGGAAGTCGAAGAGCGCCAAGCGGCCCCACTCACCGCGCTGGATGCTTGCACAGGCTGTGTCTCCTGCCACCGGGGCCACACTGTGGGACCGTAGCATCTCCTGATACTGCAGCCACCCCAGGGCACAGGAGTTCTGGTCATTGTTGGTGTCCTCCAGGTGCTGGACGTCAGGTGCCCACCAGATGAGGGGCCGGGGGACACCATTGGTATAGCTGTAGGGTAGGATGGGGCTGGAGAAGCGGCGGGCCACTGCGGGCAGGCTCCTGTTCAGCCCTAAGACCCTGTCCAGGTGGAAGGCCACCACCTCATAGAGGTCTGTGGAGCGCTTGATGAGCCCACATCGCCCATCCCCACAGTCCTCCCCTGGACTGACAGGCTGGGTGTCACCATCAGCACGCAGACGGATGCGTAGGACCTGCCCATGAGCTGGCACACGGCGTTTAGAGACTACTTGGCCACGGGCCAGCAGCTCCATCTTCTGGATGTCATCCTCTGAGAGCCACGGTGGGACTGTCTCACCAAAACACAGCCTGTCCTCCTGAGGTGAGCCGCCCCACCTGCATGGCTGATCCGCACAAGGGGAAGGCATTGAGGCACCCCACTGCCTCAGCCAACGTCCTTTCCCCCTGTGTCTTTTTGCTCCCCGGCTCGGGGGCTGGTCCCTACATGGGGTGATGGCCACATCTCGCCGGGGCCGGGGTGCCAGCAGGAGCGATGCAGGTGCTGGAGGTGCTGGTGCCACATGGGGCGAAGGGGCCCGGCCATGCTCCCCATTTGGTGGAGAGGGGAGGTAGGAGAGTGCCAGCAGGGCCAGGGCCAACAAGATTAGCAGAGCCAATAGGGAAGGGTGCTTCAGCCCCGTCCTTCTCCATGGTCGTTGGGCCTGTGGATCAGAAGGAAGAAAGTCATCAGGAGTTTCTGCATTACTAAGCCACTGTGTCTGCTTTGCCCTGAAGCCATTGCAGGTATCACAGCACCAGTTGAAAAGCCACCCTGCTGGCTGCGACCTGTGTTGGTACCAAGCTCTCATCTCCTCCTTGCTGATGGCCAGCCTACTTTATAAGTCTCTGTTTTCCAGCCCAGCACCACCCATCTGCTTTACAGGGACATTTCCCAGCAATTCAGCAACGAGGCTTGAGACAATAAGTAGGGAACAAGGCCTTGTTCCTCCTTGCTTTGCAATTATTTATTTTGGAAGTACAAGTATATCCACAGCAGAACATGGTGGGACAATACACTGCCAAGGAAGGGATAAGGAATTGTTTGTAAGAGTAAAAGCTTGAAAAAATAAAAGATGAAATGCTGTAGGAGAGGGAGCCAGCAGCCAGTGTCTTCCAGAAGGCAGCACACAAGAACCACAGAATGGTTTGGGTTGGAAGGAACCTTAAAGACCACAAAGTTCCACTCCCCTGCCATGAGCAGGAACACTTCCCACTAGACCAAGTTGCCCAAAGCCCCATCCAGCCTGGTCTTAAACATCTCAATGGATAGAGCATCCATAGCTTCTCAGGACAGGAACGCTTTGCTTACACTCAGCTTACACTGGCCTCCTCCCATAAATCTCCAGATCCATGTTAGAAACACAGGACGAAAATAAACAGGAGTTTCTCAGAAACCTCACACACATCTGAGTATTTTTCAGAGCCTTGCTCCAAACAACCCAAATAACAACAGCTCTGCTTTTTGCATTCCTAAAATCAGACCTTAAGTGCTGCCATCAATGTTCATGAATGCACTTGGGAACTCATACGTTCATGGTGCGGAAAGCCTTGTGTGTGCACAGCCACCAAGACCACCTGTAATTACGTAAATTCACACCCTTGAGGGTGCACACAGAAGTCATTTGAGAAACACTGAAAGTTCAATAGGAAAAACCCTGTTTATTCCAACGGGGGAAAGCATCGCTGGTCACAGGGAGCCAAACGGATGGTAATGATTATCCTTTCTTTAAAATGTCAAGTTGGTTTGCAAAGTGAGTGGTTGAAGCATCCTTACTGCCTGAAACTGCTTTGTCCTCGCCCTGGGCAGGTTTGCTTCGGGCACTGCAAGTTACAGTCAAGCCTGAAGTCCTTCAGTGTGAGCCTGGACCACCATTGCCCTTTCCCCACTCAGCTTGCAGAGCCTGGTTTTCCCTGCTACAAAGACAGTAATAAGGGAAAAAAAGTGTGAGTACATCCTATATGTTATTTCTGGCAGTCGATATTGCAAATTTAATAATAACCTAGATGATACAGCATTGCAGAAATGGTGCTATATTTACAAGCCATGGGTAAATCCTTTTCTAAAGAGAACTTCTCCAAGCTCATGCAGTAAAAAATGCTGCACTTGAAACTATAGCTTCAATTCAGCCTGAAATGAAAACCATACATACTGTTCCACTTTGCCAGCTTGACAAACTGACAGTGCAGCACGTCTTCTCTAGAAATTAGGTACATTTCCCAGCAGGCAAGCTAACTAAAAGCCCATAAAAAGGCTTCAGAGAGGTACTGCTCATTCCAGGACACCAAGGAGCAAACAACGTTGCAATGCTCACGCATCACATGAACATACAGCACAACCTGGGTTCCTGAAGGCACGGGCTGGCCTTCAGGAGGGATAAAAAACTTTCTGAGTGTGGGTCAGAGGATTTTATCCTTGATGCTTTGTTCCCAGGGCGCCTGAACCTTGGCGGAATTTGCAGCAGAGAAGCCTGTTTTCAATTGCTTTCCAAAGTGCATCAAATTGGCTTTGTTGAGCTTGGAGGAAAAGAAAAACAAACCCAAAACTTCATTATCCAGGAATGTAAGAAACAGCCTTAAAACCACAAAAGATGCCATAGAAATACATGGCCTTTAAATGCGGGATTCATACCCACTCCCCTCTGGAGTCTGCCAAATAAACCACAGAACTGTGTGGACAGCAGGCAACGCAGCCCACCGTGACCAAATTAACAAAGACCACTTGAGCAGCCATCAGAAATCCTCATCCACAGCCCACGCTCCCAGGAGAATCTGCAAAGCCTTGCACTCATCACAGCTGCCCAGGAACGTGGGGCTGATAGGGGCACATCCACACAATTCACCACATGGCATCTGCTCCAGGAATGGCGCAGCACCATCCTTCTGGTTATGGTTGGAAAATGCATGAGTTTATCAAAAGGAAAGCTCACAGCAGCCAGGAGACCAAATCCCTTTCTCACCAGAGCACAAGCTGAAAGAAATCCCCAGCAGAGCCCATGATTCAAGTGCTAAGTATCTTCCTATATCATCCTGCCCGGGGAAGATATACAGCTTGCCAAGTGAGGCTTTACTAAGACAGCTCTTGAATTACAGCCACCAGCTCTGAGGCAGCCCCAGCCCCCTTCGGACCCCATCAGATGTACAAAAGTGGCCACAGCAACCCAGGGGCAAAGGGATGCTGGATCTGCTGCCACATGTTGCTGGGTCTGTCCTGCCAAACCTTTCCAGCTGGCACACGAAACGTTCAGTTCTATGATTGATGGAAAGGGCATTTTCCATCTTGATGCTATCTACGGTGCAACTCATATTCCCACTAATTTAATCCCAGGAGTCAGCACATAGCACCACCAGAGCAAACAGTCTCTGGGATGCTCCACTTACAGTGTTTGAAGCTTGAGCCTGCCGCTGCCTGCTGGGTTTTCCTTGCCTCCTCTTCCAGCTGTACCTCAGATGCACACAGGATGGCTTCCCCATGTGCGTGGGGAAGCTGCAAGAGGGGCCCCTTCCCCAGCAGAACAGATGTGGCTTGCCTTTGTGCAACATCTGCGCCGCGTGTGCCCGCACGTCTCAAACAGTGCTGCCTTTGTGCAGTGGGAGCTGCACAGAGGATGCTCTGGAGGAGGGCAGCAGCCTGCAGACTGCATGCTGGGGTTGTCCGTGTCTAATCCTGCACACACGCTGCTCTGCATGCTGGTTTCCTTCTGGTGGAGAACAATGCTCTTTCTTCCTCACATTTTGCAGGACCCAGAAGCCTTGCTCCTCATGACTTCTGTCCAGCTGCAGCATGGGACTGAGCTGCATTGCTGATTTCTCTGAGCATGCCCAAACACAGGACAGCAATAACAGCAATGAACCCGGGGCCACCTCAAGTCCCTGTTCTCACAATGTCCCCGACCCCAAAGCTTCTTCCTTCCAGAGCTGCTCACCGACTTCAGCTCTTCACCTTCAGTGGGGTTGAGCCGGTTCAGCTCCTTTCTGCATTATAGCAGCAAAGAGCAAAAGTGCTGGAAAGTGACATCTTTTTGCAGAGCGTTTTGAGCTACATGGGCTACAGGGAGGAATATATTAACATGAAATCAAATTCTGTTCCCTTCTTGCTCTTGGTGAGCTTACCAATCCTGTTGATGAGTGCCTGAAGAACTGCCAAACCTCTCTTACACATTTCTGGGACCCAATCCAGTTCTATTTGTTTTATTGGGGGTTACATTTTCCCCGTGGCTGAGCTTGGGGTGAATTTCAACCCTCTTTTGATTTTCAGCCTTCGTAGACTGGCTGCAGAATGCTCTGAGCGCATTTTGGTGGAGGCAGTGTGAGCAGGCTGGCTCCATCTCCTCTCGCTTGCTCCAAGGGATTTTTTTCTTCCTGGAGAGCAAAGGAGTGCATTCGTAGGATTCCACAGCTGCAGCCAGGAGTGGGGGGACAGCGGGGCCATTCAGCCCCAGGCTAGATTGAAAACAGAATTGTTCAGACATGCCCATCTTCAAATACAGGAAAGTAATAATTTCATTCAATTTAAACCATTCCTTCAGTTCCTATGCAGAAAATTAAAGGGAAAGGAATCTGCTCCCTGCCTAGCTTTGCCTCTGCTTCTCACTTTCCCTTCTCCCAGCAGACCTCACCAGGTGAATGAATGGGCACTGTCCTAGGGCACGGTGAGCAGCTGCAGATCTCTGAGCCTGCGAAGCAGGAGGGGCAATTCTGGCATCTGGCAGCTCTGCAAGAGCAGTAATAACATGCAGTCAGCCCCTCTTGGTCATAGTGCCTCATGCCGGGAGAACAATAGAGCTGTTGGAAATTCCTTGCTGGTAGATTTTGAAGCCGGAAGAAGTCAGAAATCATCTGAGTGTCTTGCTTAGGGTTTATGCACAGATGAAGCAACAGGACGAGCAGCTCAGGCACAGCTGGAAATCAATCCCCTTCACTGTCACTAACCTGCATTCGTGAGTCTAGATCAAACGCCAATTAAAAGTGAAATCAATCAATACAGGAATTCACCAAGAAGAAACAATGGCATCATCAGACCTGCTCTTGCAAAGGGAGAATGGAAATCCATGTGGAAAGTGAATGCCCTGCTCCAGCACGGAGACCACAGCAGCAGCTGGCACGCATTGTGAAAGGCTGCACAGTGCAGGCTGGAAGGGAGGGCAGCGCTGCAGGGGGAGCCTGGCATGGGGAGAGCTGCCCTGCTTCTTCCTTTGTGGGGAGGAGCCACTTCTGATCCCTAGATGTGCGACACCCTCCCCATTTGTTCTTTTTTTCCTTTTGCTGAAGATTGTTAATTGGGAAACTCAGATCAGTGTGTGCAAGTGGTGGTGGGATGGACACTGCCAAGTGCCACATCTCCCTGCACAAACACACACACACACACACACACACACACACACACCAGCACTGCTGCCCAACAGACACACCAGCTCCCCTGGTCATGCTGCTCCAGGGACTTAGAGACTTGAGGTGACACAGGCAACGCTGCCACAGAGATTCACTGCTTCTGATTAAATATTCTTTCTCCCATGAAACCACCAGGCAAAACGCATCACCGTGCCTGATAGCAGCACCTCAGCCCAAGGAACTGTGTCTGCGGATATCCTCACGACTGGCTGTGTGCGTTCCCTATACTATCGGCAAGGACAGACCCACGCTGGAGCCTCGCCTACATGTCCCAGCCCTGGGAGAGGTCCCTCCACACTGATTTCTCCAAAGACGGGTCAGCTGGGGGACATCCTCGCATCGAATCCCATGGGGTTGGTGCCTCTGAAAAGGCTCTGCACCTCCTCCCACCCACAGCTCGGCAAGGAGACCCCCATATGTTACCATGGCTGGCAGTATCTGTCGGCTCGCTGCTCCTCGTGGGCTTCGCTGCACGCGGTCACCGTTGGGCTGACACTGCTCCCCAGCAGCAGTTCCGTGGAGAACCAGGATATAGACTGCATTATTTCTATATAAAATATCTGGGTGGCTGATCCACATCCCCTGTCCCCCGGGCGCCAGGCCAGGCGCTGCCGCCCCGTGCCCTTCAGGCTGGCGGCAGTCCCTGCGCTGAGGACGCCTGGCCAAGTCCGGCCGCCAGTTTTCCAACTCGGCAGCAGCCCGGACCCACCTCCCGGTGGGGGGAGCAGAGAGGCTGGGAAGGGGGGAGCAGGCATTTGAAGAGTCTCTTTTTCACAATAAAAGCCCTTCTTGCTGCTTTTTTTTTCCCTTTTTTTCTTTTAAAAACAGAGGACCGATTTGATCCAGGAGGTGCAGGTAAAGAGTGAAGTGACATGAACTGCTCCTGAGCCCCTGCGCTGGGACAAGCGGCGGAGCGGCAGAGCCTGGCGACCCCTCTGATCCCACAGCACTGCACCTGGCAATGAGAGCCCCACGTCTGTGTGTGTGTGCCCAAAAATACCTTTCAAAGGTTTCTAGCTGTGTCTGCTGCTGTTCAATAGCATCATGGCAGAGAGCCACACTGACAGCTGGAGTGGCGGGAAGAAGATTTCTGAGCAACTTAAAAGGAGTTCATGCGTTAAAGGCCATTTCTGGTGCTCTGGCCATTGAGATTGACTGGCATCATTTGTATTATGATCTACAATCTAAAATCTATGATTAGTCATAGAATCACAGAATCACAAAGTATCTCAGGTTGGAGTGAACCCACAGGATCATTGAGTTCAGTTCCCAGATCCACACAACACAACCCAAAACCCAAACCCAATGTTTGACAGTGCTGTCCAAACACTCCCTGAACTCCAGCACTTGGGGCCGTGCCCACTGCCCTGAGCAGCCCGTTCCATGGCTGCTGCAGGAGGCAGACATAAGGGATCAGCAGCGAAGCTGCAGTAATAAATCCACAGAAACTAGAGACAGATGCTCCAACCTCAGCATTCGGAAATTTTGATCTCATTCCCACACCTTCCTACTTCCCATGGAAAAGCGCTTTAACAATGTTCACTGTGCAAAAAGAAAAAAAAATTAAATATGTTCACATTCTACCTGAGCTCTGTGGCCCTGAGGAGTCCATGGGGCATTGCTGTGGGAGGAGGTGGGATGCAGGATGCTGCAGGCCTGGACACACCACCTGCAAATTCATGGAATCACAGAATCACTCATAGAATCATAAGGCTTGAAAAGCCCTCTAAGATCGTTGAGTCCAGCTGCCAACACCCCCACCCCCCACCCACCTCATCCCTCAGTGCCACATCCACACGGTTCTTAAGCACCTCCAGGGACAATGACTGCCTCACTGCTCTCTCTGAGAAGAAATTCTTCCTCATATCCAACCTGAACCTCCTCTGGAACAACTTGAGGCCATTCCCCCTCATCCTATTGCTGTTACCTGGGAGAAGAAGCCGACTCCCACCTCACCACACCTCCTTTCAGGCAGCTGTAGAGAGCAATCAGGTCTCCCATCCCTGCTCCTGCTGGCTGCATTTCTGATACAAGCCCGGATGCCATTGGTCTTCTCATCCGCCTGGGCACACTGCTGGCTCATGTGAAGCCAGCTGCCCACTGGCACTGCCAGATCTTTTTGCATTGTGTGGCTTTCCAGCCAAGTTTCCTCTCAAAGAGCAAAACCTGGCTCTGAAATGACACAGAAAGTGGCATGCAGGAGGCTCCCTCTGAACATGAGACAGCACTTCTACTGCTGTACACATGACAGAGATCTGGCATAGGCTCAGAGAGGCTCTCGGGTCTCCTCTGTGGAGATCTTTTCCCCTTTACCTCAGGAGCAGGGGCAGAAGCTCCTGGAGCCAGGGTGGGTACAGGCATGAGAAGGGATAGCAAGGTCCAGAAAGATTCGTACCTCTAAGAAGGTGAACAGATAAAGTTGAAGGGTATCTTTTCCCCATTTAGAAAAATGTGAGGCTCTAATGGGTTTGAGGAGCCGCGAATACAACTTTCCACATACACCAAGATAATTATAAGCTTGAATGGATTTCTGAGATCCAATCACTACCCGTATAAATCACTGCCTATTGCCCACTGATTACAAATGAGCTGTTAAGGAAGCCTTTGGATTTCTCTTTTTTCCCTGTTATCTCTTATATCTGCTGGCAGTGGGCCTTGACACCACTAAGGAGCAGCCTACAGAGGACAACCTGAAATTGCAGCCACCACCCCTGGCTACTGCAAAAGGACGGCAAGGAGCAAGGAGCAAGCAGGAAGAGGAGAGCCAGGCAGCTGCCAGAGGTACTGGACTTGGGGTTTGCAAAGCTAGAGATGCTGAGAAATTGACAGGCTGCTAAACCAGGTCCTCATCTGGCTTCTGAGCACGATGTCCCCATTCCTGGTCACTGTCCCCAAAGAGGACACAACCCAGCTCTCTAACGCAGGGAAAACACAGGTGATGGGAGATTTCTGCGTATTTGGCAGGTAAGGAAAGAGAACCTGCTCTCTCACGATGTCTGCTTTGCTCTTATGGCAGTGAGTCCACTCAGGTCACCAACAGCACTCTGAATTCCCATGAATAGGGCCCAACCAGAGCATAGGGGTGCATTAATGTTGTCAGGTGCTTCTGTCATACCTTTTCTGACTCAATAAAAGTCAGAGGGCCTCATCCTGAAGCAGAAGAACATCTTTATAAACAGCATTCACAGTGCCAGAAAGCACTACAACATCCACAGAGAAACCAGACAATCCCTAGGTGTAAGGGCTCCATGCCTCCCACAAGCACCTATGGCATCAGGCTGCTGTCATCACTCACATGCACACAGAACGAGGCACTAAAGTTTTTAAGACTTCCAGAACCTGCGGGCTAATCAGAAAAATACAGTTTCTCAGTCTGCAACTATTTAAACCTGGAGATTCAGATTTCCCTTTATGATTTACTCATTATTATCTCTCTTCATTATTAACCTGAAGGAATGGCATAGAGCTGCATCAAGGGAGGGTCAGGTTGGGTGTTAGGAATAGGTTTTTCACCAGAGGGTGGTGGGCATGGAACAGGCTGCCCAATGCAGTGGCCAAATTCTCAAGCTTAAGAGTTTAGGAATAGTCTGAGCAATTATGTTCTCAGGTGTGTGGTCTTATTTTTGGGTGGTCCTTTGCGAAGTCAGGAGTTGGACTTGATGGTCCTTACGTGTGCCTCCGAACTCAGGATGTGCTGTGATTCTATGATTCACCATTTCTCTAATCTGCAGACCTCACCAGCAAATTAAGGTGTGTGGGTGTCTGTGTGTACCCTCAACTTTATCACTGTTTAAAAATACTGGAAATCTGATGAAGAATGGTGCACTGATGTCTCCTTAGAAGAATCCTGAAATCAAATATCAAGCAGCTTCCTCATCATAGAATAACTAAGGCTGGAAAGCCCTCTAAGGTCACCTAGTCCCAACCATCAACCCATCCCTGCCATACCACTGACTCTCACATCCACACAGTTCTTCAACACCTCCAGGGACGGTGACTGCACCACCTCCCTGGGCAGCCTGTGCCACTGCTTCACTGCTCTTTCTCAGAAGAAATTCTTCCTAATATCCAACTTGAAATCTGGTATGTGGAGCTCTGACTGTTACAATTTCAGGACCCAACGGGTATGTGGTACAACACCATTACCTTAGAAACACCCAAAGTGCTTTGCTGGCATGAGCACCAAGATCCGACCGTGAAGGTAACAAAGCTTTTGCTTAAAGGAAGTTATTTGAATTGAACTGCCAAAGATGCTTACACTGACTACAAATGTACCTTTGTTACTAAGGCAGGAAAAAAAGTATCCCAAAAGGCTAAGCCCAGGGGACTGTGTCCTACTGGCTCCCTGGGGAAGAAGATAAGAGCAAATCCAAAGTACCACCTCGGCATTTCCTGCATTGTGATTCTGTCAGGTTTGTTCTGTGCTCCAGGAGGAAATCTGCACTCTGAATAGGGACGCATCATTTCAACTTCACAGCAACTCACTTCTTTTTCAGCTAATCGACCTGAGCTTCCATGGACTCCTCTGTGAAAAGGCATTTTCTCCTTTCCACCATCTCCAGCCCCACAGCTGTCTCACACACAGGCTGATCCTCAATAGACTGGTTTACAGCACTGAATAGGACAGATTCCTCCACAACCAGTAGCAATTCCTGGGACACCTTATCACAAGGTTGTGGACAGGGGCAGTGTGAACAGGCTTCAGAAATTCGACACATTCACAGGCAGGTCTATAAGAGATTCTGGAGAAACTGGGCAGGGGAGAATCCTGTAGCAGTGCTGGTCCTGCCGCTGTACACGTTGGAGAAGGGGAAGGGCCACACTCCTGTCTGTGCCCACCCAGCACCTCCCAAGAACAGTTGTTTCTCCTAGATCACGTTCAGATGGCTGGGAACTGAGGCAGCCTGCTCACGTACGGGGTGAGGACTTGCACAGAGCAGCAGCTTGCCAGACTCCCCCTGGACTCTGAAAAATGCTTTGAGCATCCAGAGCAAAAATGATGCCACTTTTAGCCAGTCAGAGTTAATTTGCTTCATTATGCCATAAACCCTCTGATTTTTTCCATTATCCACAGAGGCTTCCAGGATGAGCTAAGGCTCACATATGCAATGTGAATGAGACAAGCAGCAGAAATAAAAGACAAACAAGCCTCCCCCAAAAATCCATTTAAAGCTATTCTGAAGCTCCAGGGGGAAGAGAAAGGGGAAGAAAAGGAAAAAGCCCATAAGTCTGTTTCCCATTCTTTCTTTATATCACCTTTAAACAGCATCAATCAGCAACTCAGCTAGGAGCAGCTTCTCTTTTGTTTGATGGCTTGGGTAAACATGAGGTTCAAACAGCGGCTCTAAGACTTGACTGCTGAGTTATTGTGAAAAGTATTCAGATGTTGTGCCCTCCCACTGGGTGTCTTCAGGTAAAGCTCCAGCTGATCTCAAAGATAGTATTTCTCCCTTCTATTTAAATATCAACACTATTCCTTTTCTAAGGCACATACCAAAGCAGAGCATCCAGGTGAGATCCTGCCACACAAACCTGCACCAAGGGCACCGTGCCCCAACAGAGCACACAAAGCAGGCATGAAAAGGGCTCCCCTGTCCATCACGGGACCACAAAACAAAATATCCTGAGACACACCTTCGTGCCATGAGGCCAATGGAGAAATGCTGAGAAGCACCTGTGACAGATGCCCCATCCTTGAAGGTGCTCAAGGCCAGGTTGGATGGGGCTCTGGGCAGCCTGATTCATTGGGTGGCAGCCCTGCCCACAGCAAGAGGCCGGCACTGGGTGGAATTTGAGGTCCCTTCCAACACAAGCCAGCCTATGATTCAAGCTCAAAACATCAAAAACTATCCTGAAGGTGAAAAAATGACAGGAATTATAAAAGGAAAGAACCAAAACACAAAGACCTGAAACAGGAAAAGCAAAGATCACACAGCCAGTCCCTTGATTTACTCCATATATTTGTAAGCCTTAAAATGCTTATCATTATGCAATCAATAATGTCCTGAATAAAAAGTAATGTCTTAACAAAAGGCAGCATGTGGAATTTTCAGATATCTTATCAACACGGACTGGGGGGAGGAGAGGGACACACAAGGCTAGAAATGTTTAAGGGACACTGCAAGCAGAGGAAGACAAAAAGTAGAGGGAATCCAGATGAGAACCACACAAGTCCATGATCAGCACTGATGGCACAGGAGCTCAGCCAGTGCCAGCGTGAATTGCTTTTGGGTTGAGTTGCCACTGTTGCATCAAATGCCTAGAACAGCCATATTCCACCTGAGGAGTGGCCCAGCCCGCCCTGCAGCCAGCCCCTGCCCCACACCATCATGGTACCAGCTCTGCCACACAGAGCAGCCCAGCCCAGCCGAGTGGTGGGCATGCACCCATTGCCCAAGGGAGCCATGGCAATTCTTCTTCATGAAGTGCGGCCCAGACAAGCCCAAAAGTGACACGCACACACCAAGACATGTCTCTCAGCACCACACTGACAACTATTAAATCCCTCTACAGAGCAGCAGCTGTGGTTTGGGTAAGAATTTGCCTGCGGAAGAGTCATTTTGCCAAAAAGGAGCACAAGCGATGCTAGATGCTCTGGGAAGGCACCTCTTGTGGAGCTGGGGAGCCCACTGGGCATGACAGTGTTCAAAATGAAACTTCAATTACGGCGAGCACAAAGCATGGCAAGTTGATGTGTTGGCCCAGCACTGCAGCCTTGCACAACACTGCAGCTGCACTAGATTGTTGTAAATTACACAAAGGGACTCCAATCCTGCTCCCCTAGTTGCTCATATCTCCCAGACTTGGCAGCACCTGCCTCTAACTGCAGTTTAGGAAGTACTTATCTGCTAGTCCCAGGGGTAAAATCACCCTCTCTACTCCCAACAAGCCTCCTACATGTTCTGTGTGAAACCAGCTAAGAACATCAATGCCAGGACTTCACCTTAAGCTGTTTCTGAACAGCAGATCCAATTTCTTAACACTCCACAAAATAAAGAAGTACATGCTGACCGGGTCCAGCAAGTTCCATCTTAGTCAACTGTAAATGTAAAATAAAGATATGGATAAGCATATCCATCACTGTCAAATATTCACACCATCACCTTTGTTTGGCACCGTTCCCTCGTATGCAAGGGCAGCAGTTACTTTGAGGTGCTGTGAAAAGCAAATATTGCCATCGTGTGGTAAGCACTAGGAACAAACCCATCCTTCTGCCTTGTTATGTGTGGCCTTCAATCCGACCATCCAGCACCGAAGGCACAGCACCCATTGCTCGAGGTGCACCCCTGACACCATGCAAAGCCACCGGCAGTTTGAGAGCTTTCATCACTTCTAAGGAGCAGCACAAGAGGCTCACACACAACACGCTGTCAGAAGGTGAAGTTACCCCAAAACCTGGTACATTCTACTGTTTCTCTTTCCTCCAGACTGTAATCCAACATAACTTAACATCTCCAGATACTTGAATGCAAATTCTGATCTCAATTTGCATTGTTTCAGAGCTTTTTCTTTCTTAGTTACACCAATCACACCAATCATATGTTTGAACTCAATTTCCAGAGGCATAAAACTGTTGTCTCAAACTACTTGTAAGTGCCTGAGGAAACGTGCCCAGTATTAGTTAAAAGAACAGCCAGGCACATAACTATTGATAAGCATTCATTTTTAAAAGCACATATCACCGGCCTACTTGACAATATACGAATGTATATTTGACAGTGTCCTTGAACGTCTTACAACCTTCATTTTTCAATATTCTCCTGCCTCCATTTTATATTTGACTTTAAAAATAACTTCCCTTTATACTACAAGAGATCTCAGATCTACAATTTCTCCATTCAACATGAAGAAAATACATCCCCTGCCAACAGACCACACCTGAGAAAGCATGGAAGATGCTGACACTTAGAGATGCAGACATTAAAGTGCAAAGACTAAATCAATTTGAAATACTGAATTAAATAACTATTTTTTTAGGTCACGTCCCTTTTTACTTAATGGTTTTGACTGAAAAGTGGCAATTGTGTGCTGTATAGTTTAAGGAACTCAGGTGTGTAAGGTACTGATACAAACTATCAACTTCAAACAAACTGAAGAGCTGGCATAAAACCATCCATTTCCATCTTGTTAATAAACCACTCAGAACAACTGCGTGTTTTTAGACATTTGTGGTGCAGAAGTATCCCAGGTCACTGCTCACAGATCACTACATGATGTCTGAGGATATGAACTATCTTGAGTTAGGAAAAACATCAACATTTCTAACTGTCTTGGGAGCAAAGTACTGAGCATGTCTGTATGGTCAACAGAATGTGACAAAAACATTTCTGTGTGTTCCAGAGAAACCCTTGAGCCCAATGCTTGTAATATTAATAAATGAGACAGACAACAGAAGCAAAGTGAACTTGATTACAATTTAGATCAGCTCTTTTACCACTTGTCACTTCTGAAGAATCAGAACATGGACACACAGTGATACACAGCTCATTTTATTTCTGTTTCTTCTCTGTCTTCTTGACTTTCTTAGTTGTCTTCTTCTGGAGCTTCTTGATTTCATGCTTAATGATCCTGTTTCTCTGTAAAAACAGCAAAAAATTACTATTAATCAGATGGAAACTACAACAGTTCAAAACCATTATTCCTCAAATTCAGTTCTGAGCTTTCAGATTCTGCCCTTTCCAGTAATAAAGCCTTTGCTAATCTGACTGTATTCTAGTAAGTCAGAAGATTTACCATGTATTACATTTAAAATGTGAAATTCCACCTAAAACCGATCTACCGAGCAGTAAACATCACTCTGGCTGATGTGGGGATTCCAATATTCCATGAGTAAGGAGTTTATTACAGAACAAAATGCTAACTGCATTCAACAGAGAACATCTCATTTCAGCAGCAGGTAACTCCTCAGCTATGACTCACAAGACTGCCACACAGGCCACGTGAATTCAAGCCTGATCAATGATCAACCAAAGAAATATAAAAAATTCAAGGCATCTCAATACTTTCTGTCACTCTACAAGCCAAGCCAACTATAAAGGCAAGACTACCAAGGATCTCCACGTAACTCTAAAAGTAAAGTTTAAAAGCATTAACCCTGTAAAGAAACTACAAACACTTACCATCTTCTTTGCCTTCATAACCTTGTAACGATCAAAGTCAGTCATTTTGGCTTTCTGTTTGAAAAGAATCAATCATGAGAATGTGCTACATATCCATGCAAGTTATAGAACTCAGCACTTCAAAACATTCCACAGTTAACTCTGATCCCCTCCAAATTGGGTCTAGCCACTCAACTGGAAATAGTTCAGTATGGAAGGCCTTCACTGGGATGCAGTGATTCAAGAAAAAAAAGATTATAGAAACGACCAAATAAAACCAACCCTTACAGTACAAAGACAAGTAAAAGCTGATAGCAATTTTTCATCTGCACTATGACCACATTTAATCCTAGCAAGAGTAAATACACAATTTATTCTACTAAAACTAATTTTCACGAGCAGAATCAGTAAGAAGCACATTACAGATCCAGTTAAAACACATACCTTTTCTCTGGCTTCAATCTTCTTTGCCCATCGTGTTGCTGCCCACTTCTCATTTATATTCTCCTTCTCCCAGGCACGACGCACACACTTCTGACGAGCGCTGTATGAAAAGAGCCAGGTAGTTATACTGATTATCTGTACAAACCGTTCTCTCTGATGCCATCTCAACCAATTTCACACAAGGGAAGATCATCCTTCTGCACTCCTTCAAATGTAGAATCCAACCCTTCAGTTTAAGCCTATTATACCACAGGGATGCATGTGGCATTCAAATTTTGTTACATATCCTTTGCTAGAACTCAACATCTCACTCCTAACTGCAAGCTGCCCAGGTCAGGTTGTATCCCATATACTCCTGGGCAGCAGTTATCCACCAGTGGTGATAATAGAAACCTACCCACAATCAACTGTTATAACATGGTCTGCACAATTTTAGCTGCATACACATCACTGCATTGTAAGTTGTATGAACATCTTTCATCAGATCAGGCAGCGACAATATGTTTTATACAGGTGGAAAAAACAAAAAAAAAGCAAACAACTCACCTATGCGGGAACTTGAGAACAAAGTCAGTCAGCTGCATGCATTTGAAGGGCATGGCTTGTCTCCTGACCCCACTGCAGGGGCCATCCACTAGCGCCTGAAAAAATGAGTTACTTTTTAAAGGGTTTTTTTTCCCATCATACTCCACTTAGTTTTCTAATAATTTAGGAGCTTCACCTTGATACCAGTACCTCAAATCAAGGCACACGTTATTCAGACAAAACCAGAAATGATATCTCGTGCACATAATCTAAGCCTTACAGGCTCATTTTCATCTCCAGAAAAAAAATAAATCTTAAGAAACACACCCAATAAGAACTTTTTTCAGCTCCTCAGGATAGAGGGATCTTTTCATATAGTGAAAAGAACCTGTCTGTCAGGCATCAGTGCCATTCCATTCAAAGGTTTCGGCCTCCAAGTGGCATTTACTCCACCACTTATTTTTCGCAGAGAGATGGGAGAGGGCAATGTACAGCCTGCTACCAGAATTTTAAAATACAGTAACAGCTGTATTTGTATCAAACGCTTGAATAATCCCTTGAATAATCACCGACAGAAACTCCCTTTAAGCTCTATACACAAGGCCTGAGTGCTCAAGCTGTTCAGAGAACGAATGACAAAGGCACGGTGCTCTGGGCTGACCCTGTTCTGGTCGATAACATCAACGATGGCCACCAGCTTGCCAGCATGCCGCCCGAAGGAGACGAAGGCGATTCTGCCGATCTCGACGAAGCGTTTGAACACCTAAGGGCAAAAGGATCGGCACGAGTCAGCACTCTGCGCCTCCGCCAGCAGCTCCCCGTACCCTCTCTTGCCCACAGGCTCCGACCCCACCAGGAGAAGTACTCGAGGAGAGCCGCTTGGCGAGGCCGCGGCACCCCCGAACGCCCCTCAGAAACCTCCCCTCGCCAATCGCAACCAAATGGCCACGCGCGCCCCACTCCGATTCGCGTCGGGCGGCCTGCTCCGCGCCCTGCTCCCCGCCCGACCCAATCCCCGGCTCCCACCCGGCCCCGCCGCGGGGCCAGGAGCAGGGGGGCCTCCACCGATCTCCGCAAGCGAGCGGGAAAGGCGCGGGGAGGCCCCGCCGGCACCAGGCCCCGCCGTCAGTCCCACAGCCACACGCCCGCACCATGATGGCCGCCCGCGAGCAGAAAAGGAAGGGGGGCACTCGCGCAGGCCGGAAGCCGCCTTCGAGCCGCTACTGCGCATGCGCGGAGGCCACGTTTCGCTCTCCCGACGCAGAGCGCCTGCGCAGAACGGCTTCCCCGGCTCGAGGCCGGCCGGGAATGGCGGCGTGGCAATACGCATGCGCGGCGCTGTGCCGGACGGAGGTGGCTCGGGGTCCTGCGCACCATGGGGGCGTGGCAGAACGGCTCCGTCAGCTCAGTGCGCTCGCTGCGGTGGACGTATATGATAATAGAGACGGACATGTAGTTTACATTCTGCAGGATTTTATTCTGTAGGCATTAGCCAAAAACGTGCTCCGGGAAAGAAGAGTGTAAACAAAATGCAGGGCACTGATGGAAAATAGGTGTGACCTTTATTTGTCAGCAGTGAGAGTAAAGATCCCAGTTTAGCTGTCTAAAGTGGGGTCTTTATTGTTCTTGTTTCTAGAAGAAATCAGAGCAAGTAAATAATGTCGTAGAATCCTCAGAGTTGGAAGGGACCTTTAAAGCCTGTCTAGTCCAACTGCCCTGCAGTGCAATGACCAGGGACACCTGCAGCAACATCTGCTGCTCAGAACCACATCCAGCCTGACCTTGAATGTCTCCAGGGATGGGGCATCCACCACCTCTCTGGGCAACCTGTGCCAGTGCCTCACCTGCCTCACCATCCTCACTGTAAGAGACTTTGACCTCATATCTGACCTAAATCTCCCCTCTTCAAGCTTGAAACCACTTCCCCCCATTCTGTCGCACAGACCCTGCTAAAAAATCTGTCCCCATCTTTCTGGTAGCCCCCCTTTAGATGCTGAAAGCCTGCTATTAGGTCACCTCAGTGCCTTCCCCTCCAAGTTCTCTTAATTGATGTATTTATTATGCAAATGGCTGGGGAACCGATCATAAAAACCTTTATGAGCACTTAACACCACCAGGTATTTTTGAGAAGTCCTATCCAGAATACCACTATAACATACATATATCTCATATGTTTTACAGTAGCAATATATTAATGCGTGTATTAATGTTTTTAACCAACATGCTTGAGGTCAAGTCAGTCAAAGATGCTGTCTTTTGGATTCTTCCATTCTGCAGTGATCTGGAAAAATATTTCTCCTGTTATAACAGGAATCATTGCTGAAGCTTTCACAAATTTAGATGCATCCTGGCTTGAACATCTAGAACAAAACTTCCAGTGCATGTTTGAAAATCTGTTAATAGGCTTTCTGGGTCTAATAGACTAAATAGGCCTACAGGAATGTTGCCAAGCAAGCAACTCTAGATACAGCCCATGTACTAAACAGCACTGTGTATTGTAGATAGCACACAGAAGGAAATACTGGTAACTGAAGGTGGGCGCTGTTTGTGAGACATTGGCTTCACTGCCATCCAAGTGAATACAGATTGGTAGTAAAATAACAGAATTTTTAAAATGAATAAAAACTCCCCGACTTGGGGCATGATTATCACCCTGTGCTTTTATTTACTTCTTTTTCTGTCCTCCGAACTTATCAGCGTTCAATTATGCCACGCAGTAAAAGTTACTGCTTTCTTTTGCATGCTGCTTTATGAGAAGTTTGTCACTTCTGCCCACCCTTCAGTGATGCCTGCAGGCACATCACCTCTTGTTTGTTTCTTCTGCTTCTCCATAGCTGAGATTTTGCTCTGTATTACACGCTCCTGCTCCTGACAGATCTCTTTCTAAACAATCTGTATCATGACCTACCTCAATATCTGGGAAGTTTCTCTCTTTGGCACACAGCCTTTCAGATCTGTATTACAGCAGTGAACCTGAAGCAAACCCTAAAAGTGTCAGTGTCCCTGAAAGAAATATCAAGTGTTCAAACGTAGAAGTTGTTCATATGTATTGTATATATATGCAGATTACATGCACGTGTATTAAAAAATAATAATAATTGGGAGTGGCTTGGTTTAAGCCGCAGTTGTTTCCTCATTGAGAATATAGATTCTGGAGACAGTGAGCACTGTCCACTCCAGAAACTCACAGATGAGTTCTACAACTTGCAAATTTATATCACGCAGAAAAGCATTTCAGTATTCCTCTGCTTCTAATAAGAATAACCTGTCTGCCAAGGTGAAAATACTGATATTTGCAAAAGATGGGAAAAAAAAGTACAGTTGGCTTAGCTTTTCACAATTTATTTGTATTAATCTTTGTAAGCAAGCAGTAAAGAGTACAAACAGATAAATAAGCGGTAGTTTGTACATGTTCCCAAATCCCGTTCACCTCATTGGCTCCCCACCAGATCTGTTCAGTGGTAGATGTGGGGAAGTTACACCTGCTGATCAGGTTCTGACTCATACCTGGGGGAGGATTTAGTCAGAGTTACATCTCCATCGCTCCACCTCTCCCCCAGAAGTAACGACAGCCAGGGACAGCCAAGCTGCCTGTGTCCAAGCAGTACTTTTACCTCTAACACTGCATGGGGATGATGCTGCTGACTGGGAGGAAGCTGTAAGCTGCAGTGCTGCTGACTGAAGTTCAGTAGTTTCAGCTTTCCCAGCGGACAGGAGACATAAGACTGAGTTCTTAATCGACTGGCCGTCATACTGATTCAGTAAAGACATTATATACATAGGGAGAAGAGGGCATGGACTGTGATTCATGGAGAGATTCTTTGAATAGATACTGGCTCTATCCAAGTATATCTGTAAGTCCAAGTGAATTTTTAATAATTTCACTTCTTTGTTAGCTGCTCATGGGCTTTAGCCAGTGAGCAGAAGATGCTGAATATGGCAGTCTCACTTTTGGTTTACACTTTCTCATACAGAAAACTTCAATGCAAGAACTGAATAACCATCCCTTCAGAGAAGCTATGATGCAAGCAAGGGAAACTTCCTGCAGAAGGAAGCAATCCTGAGAGGCTGAAAAGGGAGGAATATATTAGTATGTTGGCAGCAGCTATTTGTAGGACACCTGGGGGAATATGGTGGGTGAACAGAGCTCCATGCAGGTAGCGAATCTGGGCAAAAAGAGATGGCAGAAGGTTGGAAGAGAAACAGAGATGCTTTTTCTCTTCCTGCAGGTCCTGAACAGCACAGCAATTCCCTCCTCCTGCCAACTCCAAAGCCCTAAGGATATGTCCCCCTCATACATTCACAGATCATGTTAAGGCAATACGAAGAGGAATAGTGACACTGTACAAAGGCAGGAGTAGGCAGATGACTTGGCAGAAGTCTTTTCCAAGGGCTAGTTCAAAAGCCAGCTAAGGAAGGACAAAGCTGCACAAAAGACAGACAGGGGAAGGAGGCATTTCCATGGACACCTTGAGCATCAGGTACATTTGTACTCCAAGATTTAAGTAGGTAAGAATTAGAGGTTTGGTGCAGAATGCCTGAGCTTTAAAGGAAGGCAACTCTTAAGAGCATGAAGGTAGTTGTGTTCCCAGTAAAGGTTTGGAGTTAATGTCACTGACAAAAGCATCTGCTACATATATCCCAGTGCTGCTGAAAGAATGCTGAGGCCAGGACAGTAGAAAGGCTGATAAAGGCAGCTGAAGGCAGCAGTTGTGACTGCAGCTATTTGGTCTCAAACCCACTACATAAAGGCAGTTCTTCTGACCTGCAGCTTGCCTCCTAATCCCCTTAGCCTTGAAGGCAGGGCTGAAGTTTTTGCCTACTCACATTAATGCTTCAGAAGATCCAAGACAGTTGAAATAATATGTACCTGACAAACTGGTACTTACTGTATCTGAGATTAGGAATACGGGTCAGAAGTAGAAAATACCAAAAATGTTTGCCATAGTTATTACAGAAAAAAAAAAAGGGCCCTGAAAACTCTATAGGCTTCTGGAGGTAATTATGATACACTGAAAATTAGGTTCCCTTACTGAAAAGATTTTACTTTTGCCTTCAAAGCAAATCTAAATGTGCCATAACAGGCTTTCTGAGATCTTTGTAGTGCTAAAAGTATAGCTCAGCTTTAAGATGGGCTTCACAGTCCTGAAAGATGTTGGCAATGTGTTACACCCTAACATGATGGGGATCAATTGTTTGGAATAGCAATAAAAGCAATTCGCTCCCAGCTGTGCTGTTCCTGTCAGCTCATGTGATTACCCAGTGCTTGTTCCACTTCCAGAAGCTGGATTGTTTGGGGGATTTGTGTCAGCAGCACTCACAAGAACAGCCATTATGTTCCCTTCTCTCACAATTTCCACTGACTCATTCTTAGATTTTATCGTGAACAACCGCTGCCATTGATCAAATACATCACTTATCAGGTGGCACAGAATTAATGGACAAAAATTCATACGTATCTGACAGAAAGACACTATAAAAACATGAACAAGCAAAGCAGCAGACCTGCCTGTGCTTCATCTGCTTAACATTGGATATGCTCATTTTACAGAAACAACTGCCAAAATATTTCAGAAGCACTCCAGTTCACCGTATCACAGACTCCTCAGTGCCTCTTGTCTCCTTTATTTATGCTTCTGGTCTTTTCAGGACTTTTCACCTGTCTTTAACTATGTTTTTCAAATATAAAGCTCTACGTAACTTTATAGGATTATGAATTTTTTGGTCAGTCTTCAGGTAAGTTTTTTCATTCTGGAGTAAATACATATTCCACATGACTGATGACCTTCTGATTACGTGACACAATACACAGGTAAACAAGGAAGAAAAGACACAACAGTGCCAGAACAGTGAGGAAGATGAGGAGCCCAGCAAACAAAGAAGGTTTCAGAGGTAACTGGATCAGCTTGCCTTCTGCTGGAATCATGTTGGTGAGGCTCAACATGTAACCAAGTGACCATGCTATGCTGCTGTTACCAACCTGAAATACAGACAAAAGAGTCCTATTCCCATGTTCTTTTCATTCAAAGAAAAGAGCTGAACTGCTGATGCTGGCAACTGTCTGTAAGTTATCAAGGAAAATTGCTTTTTTTTTTTTTCAGTTCAAGAGAATGCTAATAAAACTGATCACAAGGATGGGTGATATACAAGCAGACAGCCAGTTATTATGGGCTTTTATGTACACAGAACATATTTTTAAAGAATCAGCACTAGTGC